GGTGAGGTTGGCCCAGGATCGAACATTGTTTCGTTCTGCTGTGCATGGAGTCGCTATGAGTCGGTTCCGACTCGATGGCACCTGACAACAACAACAACAAGGTGAAGGGTTAGCGAAAAAGAGGAAGACCCTCAACGAGATGGATTGGTCAAGTGCCTGCATCGATGGACTGAAGCATGACAGCAGTAGTGAGGTTGGCCCAGAACTGGGCAGCGTTTTGTTCTGCTGAGCATAAGGTCGCTATGGGTCGGTACTGACTGGATAGCACCTAACAACAACAACAAGAACAAATCATGCCTGTATGTTTTGTTCTTTCAAGAAATCTGCTTTATTCCTTTAATCATCTATTTTATTCTTTATTTCAGCACATAATGGAGTCTTGGTCTGGCGCTGTGGGCTAATGTGTTAGACTGCAAAGTCATTTAAACTGCAAGGTTGGTGGTTCAAGCTCACCAGCTGTTCCTTGGAAACCGTCTACAGGGTTGCTATGGGTCAGAATCGACTCCACAGCACTTAACAACAACAACAATAATCAACCCAGAGTACTAGAGTAAATCAAATTCAATTTAATATTTTAGTTATGGATTCATGTGAATCATGCCCCCAGTATCCCACCTCAGTGTTAGAATATTTATTAATTACTATCTATCAACCAGCTTATCTTTCTGTTGTCTCAATTATTTTGCTCAGACCTCCTATGATGTTCCTACTTTCCAGGATTCTTCCACACAAAGGTATTTTGAATTTAGAATTTTTAATTTAATTAGCTTCACATGCTTTAAATAAATGCATTTCAAAATTACAGTTATTCTCAGTTGCTTTACTTCTAATTCCTATTTGTACTCTTACTTTGTTTTATAACTCAATTTTAATTTGAGAATTAAAAAGTTTTTTCCTACATATAAGCACAAACGGAAGATCCCTTTGAATAGTCTTAACAGGAAATTTTCTACATTGACACTTTAGGGGAACTATAATAAAGATAATGGAGGTTTGGATTCTGTATACTTTAGATGCTTTTCAAAAATGGGCGAAAAGTATAAGACAATTATTTTTCTACTGCATCACTTCACTGGAGTCTTGACGTGGCAGGTAGGGATAATGAGCTGGACTGCAATGTCAGTTTGAGCTGCAAGGTCGGCCGTTGAAACCCACCAGCTACTTCTTAGAAACCCTATACAGGGTTGTTAATAGTTGGAATCAACTTGACAGCACTTAACAACAATAACAATATATCACTTTATCATCCCTTATAATTTATGTTATCTTTTATGAAAATAATTAATTATTATATACTAACCTTGGACTCATCTAATCCAAGCTTCTTTAGGGACTTTCTGACATAATCCAGAAAGGAAGAGGATTTGGAATAAATTTTACCAACATGCCCATCGCTGTAAAACAAAATTAGTTTTATTTTGGTTATTTAAGCAATTTTTAATTACTCAGTTTTTTTCTAATTTAAATTAGACAGTAATCCAAGTGAAAACTGGAATATGTTTAAGGTGGAAACCTGTCAGAGGAGGAAAATTAAAATATTTTCCACTAAAACAAATGATAGAAAAGTAGTAACACTACCACTTTAAGGCAGTAGTACCTTAAGGGTGGAAAACATTTAAGACCCAGAAACCAAGGCAGTTCCATCAAGTTCCAGCTTACACAGGTTTCACTGCTGACTGTTTTAAATTCAGTCTTAAAATATTTTCAAATGTCTTCTGTGTATTTGAAAGCCCTGATGTGATCCATATATAGTCACATTTTTGTGAACATTAAAAAATTATACATAATATTCAAAATTTGTTCTGAATTCTTTCAGCATACAGCAGAAGACAATATTATGAGGACAATGCTATGATAGAACAGTTTTAAACTTACAATATAGAACCTGTTTGTTTTTTAAGGAAACTAAGATTTTTAAGTTTCCATTGTAGTCCAAAGCCCATTTTCAATTTTGCTAGAACATTATAAAGCAGATTTCATTGCAACACCTGCTAATAGTGGCAAAAGTCAACAACTATGCAAAGAGAACTTCTTCAATGGCAGCCATTGATGAAGCACCATATGCTGAGTTGGGTATAACATGAACTCATTTATGCCCTGTGGGTTTTCAGAGCAGCTTACACAAAGTTCCATACAATGGTTTTAAAAATGCAAAGAAAAATGATCACATCTCATAATTCTGGCCTACTTAGTTATAATGTGTAAAACCTACAACTTGGTTATAATATAAAACCCAACAGGGAAAATTACCACCTCCTGGTGTGGTGCTGTGCGTTAATACGCCAGACTGCATAGTTGTTTGAAATGCAAGGTCGGTGGTTCAAGCTCACCAGCTACTCCTTGGAAACCCTATATAGGGTCGCTAGAGGTCGGAACCGAGTCAATGGCTCTTAACAACAATAACAAAAAGTTTCCAAAAACTAATAAAATCTTATTTATTATTGGTGGGTGTTGTTGTTAAGTATTGTGGAGTCGGTTCCGACTCATAGTGACCCTGTACAGGGTTTCTGAGGCTGTATATCTTTACGGGAGAAGAACACCTCATTTTTCGCCCGCGGAGCAGCTGGTAGTTTCGAACTGCTGACCTTGAGGTTGGCAGCCTGACTCGTAACCACTACATTACCAGAGCTCCTTTTATTATTGGTATTATAAGTTCATTAACACATATGATTAATTAGAAATTATCTCTTTCTTTACTAATATATATTAAATATAAATGAACTATATTCCTACAACTACATTTCAAGATGGTCACATTAATTCTATTTGCTACCTCCTGGACTGATTATTAAAACTACCTCCTAATTAAGACATCAAGCTGAAGTCGGTTCCTTTTATTTTTGCCCACATTTCTGTCATACTATTTTATTTTAGAAGATGTTTATTATGGTATTTAACTGCTCAAAAGACTTACAATACTTCTCTCATTTCCTGGGATGAATTTGAAACTCCTCATTACACAAGTGAAGAAGGAACAAACAAGATGGCGGATCGGGTGGACGTATAGCAGAGAGCTCTGCCAACCACAACACAGAATACCTGACCAAGCAGGTTCAGATGGTCCCAGAACTCTGAACCACATATAAAGGAATACTTACAAGATTGGAAGGCTCACAGCTGGGGGAATTTGTGGCAGAAGCAAGAAATCTATTGCTTTCTAGTCCAGGATGCTCGGCTGCTCCAGGAGCCGCCATCTTGGGTGAGACCACATGGGGAAAGGATTGGAGCAGCCACAGACGCCTGGCAGAACCGCTGAGATAAAGGTGTGGACATTCTTTTCTATTGGTATCTGTTCATTGGTCCCTTGCTGTTTACGCACCTCCATTCTGGTGACTATAGGGGTGCCTGAGGTAGTGGGCACCCCAGTCCCACCCTCGAAGGGTTCTACTATGCATGCGCACAAATCTCGAAATTTAAAGAGACAGTTTCCAATTAAAACCGAACAGCCACAGCCGGCCCTGAACTGTTTCAACTAGAAAAAAGGACTGAACGGAGATTGTGGAGCAGGACAAGCAGACAAAAGAGGAAATAGGCCGAAAATTAAATCCTAAGTTACATCAAAACGACCAACAGTTGTATCTTGAAACTTCTCAGGAAGAAGAGTGAAAAGGGAAGCCCATTTCCTGATCACATCTACCTGGAGGCATTCAGAAAGCATAAAAAAA